GCCCCCCCCATCAAAAATACAGGTAGGACAAAAGCCCCCCATCTTTTTCACACGCACAGGTGCTCAAATTCATCAAATTTCACACAAACTTTTAAATTAAAATGAAAAGAATTTGTTTTAATGTTTATTTATAATGTATATTTGGAGTGATAACAAAGTTTATGACAACAGATTAAATAATGCATGCATGCGATACCGAATTCATAGATTTTCATATACACAACAAGGGTCAGAAGAGTAGTAATGTTTAATCACTTTTGCAAAGGGATCAAATTAATATCCTTAGCCCTTTGTCACCTTCATGTGATGTCCATACATATCTTTAGAACATAAAAAACACAACTTTAATACACTATATGTAAATTTGATTGACTATGGGGGGGGGGGGGCTTTTGTCCTACCTTTACTTTTTTATGGGGGGGCTTTTGTCCTATGTGTAAATTTCATGGGGGGCTTTTGTCCACCTTGTCATTTTTAGAAGGGGGGGGCTTTCGTCCGGGGGGGCTTTTGTCCGTATCCCCTTTAAAAAGAATGCAAGCATTTCATGGTTGAAAAACATAATATCACAGTGTATGGATTGTTTTAAAATTAATGAATTAATATTCTCTTTCAATCTTGAACATCAGGAATGTCCTCTTAAGTTATTTATTATTATTCAGAATGGGAAGAAATGTGGATAAATGAATAAATATAGAAATTCCGCTTTAGAGACAATAATATATCTAATACGCATTCTGCCATTTTGATTTTTTTTGTATATTTGACCATACAAAAATTATGGTCATTTATCTATATGACTAACTTAAGCTTGGGATCCAACGCCTGATGAATCCCAGGCTAATGTCTAATATGCATTTTGAGAAAACAAGGGAATTTCAATGCATACTTATAATCTGCAAAATTGACTGTTCTTTGTTATTTACCCTGAGGCTCTCCTATCAGCAGGAGAGTTGTATAATAAAACAGTTCCTCAATACACAGGATGACTTGAGATTTTCCTCTTCAATTAAAGTAATTCCCCTTATACATTAAATTTTTAAAATTGAAATCATGTATAAAGTTATCAAATTTATTTATTTTATTGATAATATTTTAATTATTTATATCTTTAAAACATATGCAAGCATTACACAGTTGAATACTAAATTATCACAGTATATTGATTTTTTTTTAAATATTCTCTTTCAATATTCAACATGAGGAATTATCTCTAAGTTATATATTATAGAAATAATATTTTAGCTTAAATATAAACCTTTCCTTGATTTGTTTGAGCTTATGAAAAAAAAGTTTATGTTGTTACAAACTAGATTAATTAGGCCAGAATTATCAGATTTTCCAATTTGTACACTAGAAAAGTTGAAATGCATGGCCATTAAGCTTTAAAAACACTTATTTAAATATCCATTATGGAGCATATTTATTATTTACAAATAACCTTATTAATTCTATAAATTTGATTTTAAGGGGTATTATTTTACACTTACAGTTAAATACGGGTTAAGAAAAATATGATTACAATAAATATATTTGTTTTTAATTTAAGCTTTAACATGATATCACTTAAAAAGTTAAAACTGCTGATTTTAAAATTACCTTTTAATATTCATGAATAGGCCACAATTATATTCCCAAATTTTGTTTTTCTTACAGCAGCTTAACAATGGATGCCCCTTGTCACTTGATATGCAATTATCAAATAAACCATTTAGGTGTCACCTACCCTGGTCAGCCTGGTCATATGGTCTAGTGCACTAGAAGTGCACACGGTGTGCACTTCTAGTTCAGCTCTAGTGCACTAGAAGTGCACAAGGGTGGGAAGTTTAGTGTGAACTCAACTGTAATTGATGGATGATCACCAAACTTTGTCTGTAGCATTCTTGGGTACTCTTTTATCAAGTTTGCTCATATTAATTTGATAAGCCCCTTTTAGGGGTCTCTAAAGCTAAAAATAGAAATACCGTTAAATGTCTATTTCTAGAGAACTTAAATTGATGGATGATCACCAAACTTTGTCTGTAGCATTCTTGGGTAGTGTTTTATCAAGTTTGCTCATATGAATTTGATTGGCCCCTTTTAGGGGCCGCTAAAGCTAAAAATAGAAAAACCTTTAAACATCTTCTTCTTCAGAACCAATTGATGGATGATCACCAAACTTTGTCTGTAGCATTCTTGGGTACTCTTTTATCAAGTTTGCTTATATTAATTTGATTAGCCCCTAAAAGGGGCCACTAAAGTTAAAAATAGAAAAAGCCTTCGAACATGATTTCCTACTGAAATAATTGATAGATGATCACCAAACTTTGTAGCATTCTTAGGTAGTCTTTTATCAAGTTTGCTCATATTAATTTGATTAGCCCCATTTAAGCTAAAGCTTAAATGCCCCCAGGTCATGGCATTTCTTCAAATTATTGTTTAAACATATTCTATGCTCAAATGTAATATTAGAATATATTGACATGCCAACACTGAAAAGCAGTTGTTTTTGGTGAGCAACTCAGGGCCATCATGGCCATCTTGTTCGAATAGTCTAGCGTTGCTGTCTTCCGACAGTTCTTTTTTATTATGTTTTATGTTTTACTATTACCACGGTACATGTTCCTCCTTGTTAATTTGTGTCATAATCAGTAGAGTTAATACAAACACAGAAATTCGATTGATAATGTCTGGCAGAGCCAGACGTCTTTATTGTCTAAGAATAGATTATGATATAATCAAAAGATTAACCAGAAACTTCAAATACGCTTTCATATAGAAAACAATTGTAGCAAACGTTATAATAGATGACACAAAGTTGGACAACAAAAACCACCTAACAAACGTTATAATAGATGACATAAAGTTGGACAACAAACACGCCCAACATATATATATATAGATATATTGTATATATAGTACAAAGTACTGTTCATAAAATATTTCTCAAATCGTGGTCGACTCGCCCAGGAAAAACCATAGTCTGGAAACCTGTGCCCTTTTATCTTGTGTCTAGTACCACTTGATGTAGGGCTACATCCTTAAAAAATATTTTACAAACCTTTAACTTCAAGGTAGTAGGCTGATAATAATATGCAAAATATAAAGTGAAACAAAAACAAGAGGAAAATTATACAGGTAAAGTCCAATGTGATACATAGAGACTACAAAAACCATTCCATTAAAATACAAAATATCCAAGTTAAATGAAGTTATTTATCTCACTTCTAGTTCCGGTGGCTGGAGGGGAGGTAAGGGAAGAAAAAAGAATATAATAAATATAAGTATCAATGCAGTATTTAACTACAAATTTTATTCCATTTCAAAGAAAATGGTACTGTAAAGAAGTTGTCAATAGCGCGCATTTCAAAGAATGAAAGGGTTTTGCGTGATTCATTACAACTTAATCTCCCTTCCCATGTGAAAGTGTACAATTTGCGCACCTCCTGTTGTTATTGTGCAGTCATAAGATCAAAGAAATATACAGTTGTAAATTCCAGACATATGGAACAGATTAATTAACGTTATAGTATAGGCTTGAAATACATATCTTAACCCTTTCGCTGCCAGAGGGTTATTGTTTTATTGTTAACCTATTTGCCAAAGGATTTTCTAAGAAATTACTATATTATTAATTAATATAATTATTATTATTGATTATTAGTATTATAATAATTATATATGTTTCCAAATCTGTTAGTATAATAATAATTATTGTCGATGGTATAATTTTCTTTATATTTATTATTATTTTTATTATTGTTTTTATTAATTTATTATTATTACTATTATTGTTATAGAAACGGCTAAAGCCGTCCATATGGCAAATACGCCGAAAATAACAGGGACGGCTTAAGCCGTCACTATGGCAGTGAAAGGGTTAAAGAAATTGGTGATGGTTACTAATAAAACATAAACGAATTTATATGCGATATAAATTACGATTTTATGTTTTACTATTACCACGGTACATGTTCCTCCTTGTTAATTTGTGTCATAATCAGTAGAGTTAATACAAACACAGAAATTCGATTGATAATGTCTGGCAGAGCCAGACGTCTTTATTGTCTAAGAATAGATTATGATATAATCAAAAGATTAACCAGAAACTTCAAATACGCTTTCATATAGAAAACAATTGTAGCAAACAATATAATAGATGACACAAAGTTGGACAACAAGAACCACCAAACTGTCCAACCAAAGCACTTTCAGTGTAAAGAAAAAAGAATATAATAAATATAAGTATTGCAGTATTTAACTACAAATGTTATTCCATTTCAAAGAAAATGGTACTGTATAGAAGTTGTCAATAGCGCGCATTTCAAAGAATGAAAGGGTTTTGTGTGATTCATTACAACTTAATCTCCCTTCCCATGTGAAAGTGTACAATTTGCGCACCTCCTGTTGTTATTGTGCAGTCATAAGATCAAAGAAATATACAGTTGTAAATTCCAGACATATGGAACAGATTAATTAACGTTATAGTATAGGCTTGAAATACATATCTTAAAGAAATTGGTGATGGCTACTAATAAAACATAAACGAATTTATATGCGATATAAATTACGATTTTAGGCATATGGTATTATTTATATGTTTCTTTGAAGTTTTATCATTTAAAACCCAACATTATTGTTGTTTTCAGTCAGTATATATTATATACTCTGTGACAATTATATGGAGGTAAATAATCACCTGTCTCAGTGCTTCAAAATGAGCTTTTTAAGGCATGATTGGTGACATGTCTTGGGTGTGTACTCCACAGCGAAAGCTTTGACATACATTATTGTCACAAAGTATTCATGTGACAAGAGCATAGCTCTTTGGCATGTATCTATATAGATCTTATTGATAATTGAAATAAAACATGTTGTGGACAAATGTTATAAATGGGTATCCTGTTTGTTTGAGAATTATTTTTGATGACTTTAAATTTTATTTACAAATTTGCATTCGGGTGTATATTGCCTATGAGGTGCTCTTGTTTACTAATGCAATCTTGTTTGTTTCAATTTTTCAGATACGCCTTTTTACTTACAAGCCCAGCTGTTGGACTTTATCTAGTTTCTTACTTTTTTATTATCAAATGTCCAAGTATGATGCCATTAACAGGAGTACAAACAGAGGTGGCTGAGAAAGAGGCAATACTAGATGTTAACACTTCTGCACAAGGTAAAATAGTGTATAATCTAGATGGTACAGGGGCTTATCATGTGGGGGGGGGGCATGTTCTTATCCATAAGCGTCTCTGGAAAAGACTAGACATATTTGCTGCTGTATAATATAAAATTATGGTCCACAATATTCAAACTTCATAGGATGATTGTCCTTAAACAGATGAGATATTTTGTCTGTAGCATCATGAAACTCTACAAAAATTGTTCAAATTATAGCCCTGGGTCAAAATTGGCCCCGCCCCAGGGGTCATTGATTTTCATTATGTAGACATAGTATAAACATAACAAATCTTCCTAGAGCTGGTATCTAGTGAAATTATTAAAATCTTCTGCCATGAAAATAATGTCTTAACCTAAGATATTTGGTAAGTAGCATAACATCACAATAGAAGAAAATCATATTCTATTCGGGTAAATAACTTTCAGCTCTAGAATTTTGACCAAAAAAAATGCACTCATTACAAATACCTTACCAAATCATTTTCTATTTAGATTGAGTAGTATTGTACATTATTCCAGATGATTTGTAAATCATTTAAATTTGCATAATTATACTTTTTGTATGCACTGTCAATGAGAAAGGGTCTAGATATTAAATTTTAAAAAAAGTATGCTCTCACTGATGCCTACCTGGTAATGAAAGTAATTCCAATACAAACAAGACTTACATGACTTGTTATGTGACATGACAGTAGTGCAACATTGTTCTGTTTGTGTCAAGACTGTTTGCTAGTCAGTAATATTAGATGATAAAATTAATATCAAAGCATGTACTTTTTCTTTTTCACCTATAATGCTACTCATTTTCTACAAATATCAACACTTATTCATAAGAAATGTAAATGAACCAAAGCAAAAACTGTCGACTTTAATTTTTTTTTACCGTGTTACATGTTTGGCGGCAAATGGTACATCATGAAATAACAAGACAAGAGGGCAATGATGGCCCTGAAATCGCTCACCTGAATAAAGAAACCCCCCATGAGACAAGTAATATTTTAAACTATAAACAAAGGCAGATATAAAAATTAATAAAATCTAAATCTTAAACTGATATCACAAAGTTCATATTTCTATCTGAAATAGTGCATGTGTAAAAACATTACTGGTTGCTATTGCTAAGGGAAAAAAACAGTTCCAAAGAATGTGTACATACAATTTTCACCCTAGGGCTTTTACTTGAACAAACTTGGTAGACACTCACTAGAAAATGTTTCATGCTAAATATCTAAGCTCAGCTCTTTTGGTTATTTAAAAGAGGATTTTTTAAGTTTTTACAATATACATATAGGGAAAATTAATAATCCCCTTGGACGGGCCAATTTTGATCCCAGGGCTTTTATTTGAACAAACTCTGTAGACATCCACTAGAAGATGTTTCATGCTTATTATCTAAGTTCTAGCTATTTGGGTTTTTTTAAAAGAAGATTTCTTGTTTGTATATTCTATATACATATAAGGAAAATTAACTACACCCTGGGACGGGCCAATTTTTACCCTAGGGCTTTTTATTTAACCAACTTGGTAGACAACCATTAGAATATGTTTCAAGCAGAATATCTAAGCTCTAGCTCCTTTTTTAAAGAAGATTTTTTAAGTTTTTATTATATACATATTAAGAAAATCAATAACCACCAGGGCTGGACCATTTTAAACCCCAGGGCTTTTATTTGAATAAACTTGGTAGACATCCATTAGAAGATGTTTCATGCCTAATATCTAAGCTGTAGCTATTTGTGTTTTTTAAAAATAGATTTTTATACGCCCGTTTGAAGAACGGGACGTATTATGGGAACGCCCCTGGCGGGCGGGCGGCATCCAATTTTGTCCGGAGCATATCTCCTACATGTATGGAGGGATTTTAATGAAACTTCATAGAAATGTTCACCACTATGAGGAGCAGTGTCGCGCACATGAACCAGGTCTCTAGGTCAAAGGTCAAGGTCACACTTAGAGCTCATTGAAAAATGCTTGTCCGGAGCAAAACTTCCACATGTATAGAGGGATTTCAATATTACTTGGCACAGATGTTCACCATTGTGAGGCGGAGTGTCGCGCGCAAGATTCAGGTCCTTGCGGCCAAGGTCAAGGTCACACATAGAGGTCAAAGTTCAGATAAAAATATGAAGATGTGTATATGGACCATTTAGTCATCATTTATTGAGGGATTGTAACACAAATGGTCATTATCAAGACTATGGCTGTGATACATATAATTTAGGTCAATATATACAAGGTCAAGGTCACTAAAGATGATGAAATATCCAGATTTTGTCCGGAGCATATCTCCTACACGCATGGAGGGATTTTAATGAAATTTCATAGAAATGTTCACCATTATGAGAAGCCATGTCACGCACATGAACTAGGTCTCTAGGTCAAAGGTCAAGGTCACACTTAGAGCTCATTGAAAAACGCTTGTCCGGAGCAAAACTTCCACATGCATAGAGGGATTTCAATATAACTTGGCACAAATGTTCACCATTGTGAGGCGAAGTGTCGCGCACAAAATTCAGGTCCCTGCAGCCAAGGTCAAGGTCACACATTTAATCATCATTTATTGAGAGATTGTAACACAATTGGTCATTATCATGACTACGGCTGTGACACATGTACTTTAGGTCAATATATGCAAGGTCAAGGTCACTAAAGATGGTGAAATATCCAGATTTTGTCTGGAGCATATCTCCTACATGTATGGAAGAATTTTTATAATACTTTATGGAAATGATCACCACCATGATATGTATTGCTCCATGCATGATCCAGGTCTCCAGGTCAAAGGTCAAGGTCACACTTAGAGCTCATTGAAAAACGCTTGTCCGAAGGAAAACTTCTACATTCATAGGGGGATTTCAATATAACTTGGCACAAATGTTCACCGTTGTGAGGCCGAGTGTCGCACGCAAAATTCAGATCCCTCCGACCAAAGTCAAGGTTACATATAGAGGTCAAAGTTCAGATAAAAATTTGAAGATGTGTATAGGGACCATTTAGTCATCATTTATTGATGGATTGTAGCACAAATGGTAACTATCATGACTACAGGTGTGACGCATTTAATTTAGGTTAATATTTGCACGGTCAAGGTCACTGGAGATGATTAAATATCCAGATGTTGTCCAGAGCATATTTTCTACATGCATGGAGGAATTTTAATGTTACTTTATAGAATTGTTCACCACCATGAGACGTAGTGCCCTGCACATGAACCAAGTCTCTAGGTCAAAGGTGAAGGTCACAGTTAGAGCTCATAGAAAAAACGCTTGTCTGGAGCAAAACTTCTACATGCATAGAGGGATTTCAATATAATTTGGCACAAATGTTCATCATTGTGAGGCTGAGTGCCGTGCATAAAATTCAGTTCCCTGCGACCAAGGTCAAGGTCACACATCCTGTGCATATCTTCCCTACTGATTTGTTTTAAGGTTCATTTAACAACACAGTGCCAAGAATAAAAACTTGCTTGCTAGATAACACTTATCCATAATGCCCCCATCTCCATCTAAAGCTTTCGTAAACGGGCGTATTTTGTGACTATGGCACCCTTGTTTAAGTTTTTACTTGATACATATTAGGAAAATCAATGACCCCAGGGCAGGGCCAATTCTGACCCTAGGGCTTTTATTTGAACAAACTTGGTAGACACCCATTAGAAGATGTTTCATGCTTAATATCTAAACTCTAGCTCCTTGGTGTTTTTAAAAGAAGATTTTTTAAGTTTTTCTTATATATGAGGGATGTCCAGAAAGTTCTTATATTTCTTCATTTTTTATTGTATAACATTACATATGCTGTACAAATTTTGTCAGCATAAATAGTTAAAATACACCAAAACAACACATATTTCTTTAATCTTTACTAGTTTCGACTGTTGTCTTCATCAGAATAACGTACAAAGTATTTGACGTCACTTTTCATGATAAATCAGCATAAATATACATATCTAGTGAAAACATTTATCAACAAGAAATGTCGAATGACATATAAATTATGCTCCCCTTTCTAGCCATTGACTCACATTATTGGTAATTTTGTTAGAGAAACTTGCCATAAATGGGTAGATTGAAGAATTCAATTATGGAAAAAAAGAAAAATAATAAAGACTTTGCAATAATAAGACATTAAAGGCCCCTGTGACCTTGACCTTTGACCTAGTAACCACAAATCAATAGGGGTCACTTACTAGTTATGATCAATCGATATTAGAAATGTGAAGACTTTGTGATAACTAGTTTTCAAGATAATAAGCGGAAACTATTCTGACATTTAAGGCCCCTGTGATCTAGTGACCCCAAAAGCAGTACAGATTATCTGTTGGTTATGACCAATCCGTATGTGAAATATGAAGACTTTGTGATAATTATCTTTCAAGATAATGAGCTGAAATCCTCTACCATTCGAAGACCCTGTGACCTTTGACCTGGTGACCCCAAAATCGATAGGGGTCATCTACTAGTTATGACCAATCAATATGTGAAATATGAAGACTTTTTGATAAATAGTAACCAAGATAATAAGCAGAAATCATATTAACATTCAAGGCCTCTGTGACCTTGACCTTTGGCCTAGTGACCCCAAAATAAATAAGGGTCATCTACTAGTTATGACCAATCAATATGTGAAATATGAGGATTTTGTAATGAATTGTAACCAAGATGAGCGGAAACCACCCCGACATTTAAGGCCCCTTTGAACTTGACCTTTGACCTAGTGAGCCAAAATCAAAATGGGTCATATACTAGTAATGACCAATCAATATGTGAAATATGTAGACTTTGTGATGAATACTTTTCATGATAAATCAGCGAAAAGCATTCAGACATTTAAGGCCCCTGTGACTTTGACCTTTGACGTAGTTACCCTTAAATCAATAGGGGTCATCTACTAGTTATGACCAATCTATATGTGTAATATGAAGACTTTGTGATGAATACTTTTAAAGATAATCAGCGGAAACCATTCTGACATTAAAACTATTGTGACCTTATACTT